GGTACTGAGCCTTGAGGTACTCCATATTCTATTGGCTTGCTAGAAGACAACGTGGTATCCACCCTCACAAGTTGACTTCTGTTGCTCAGATACGACTTAAACCAATCGAGAGATATGCCCCTGAACCCATAGTGCTGCAGTTTATTAATTAAGATCTTATGATTTACACAGTCGAACGCCTTAGAAAAATCACAGAAAATTGTTGCTGTAGAATGGTGGTTATTTAGGCTGGAGTAAACTTTATTAAGGAGGGAAAACATAGCGTCATTTGTGGACTTGTTGCTTAGAAATGCAAATTGATGTTCAGTAAGTATTTTGTACTTAAACAGAAAAGTTACCCGCCTTCTTTTAACCAACCTTTCTATGATCTTAGATAGCGTTGGAAGGAGTGCAATTGGGCGATAGTTAGAAGCTTGTTCTTTGTCTCCTCATTTATGCAGAGGAATGATTATTGCCGTCTTAAGACATTTTGGAAAAATACCATGCTGCAATGACATGTTTATTAAAGTAGTTAGGTGATTCAGAGTGCTTTCTGGCAGATTCGAAAACATTTTTAAAGTTAGCCGTATTAATTATTATAAATCACGAGATTTTTTTTTATTTTTGAAATAACTAATTTTTTGCCTACTTCCCATTTATTCGAACTTTTCTGCTGTATCTGACTTTTTAAAAAGTTCATATCGGATATTTTAAAATGAATTTCATTTAAAGCGCTTCATCGGCGAAAAATTCTGTATAGCGCTCTCAGAAATACCTAGCCTTTGCAATTAGCCAATAACACAAATTTTTAAAAACTTTCTGAATGAGGCGAAATGAAATCCAACTACTGGACCTGGATAGAGCATAGATCGTTAAAATTTTTAATTCGGGAATTTAAAGTGTTTTTTTCAAATCGGAAAAAAATGTGGCTTTGCAAAAAATAAGTGGGTCGTTGAAAAAAAAACGATGCCATTTCACTATTATAATATTAGTCACTTTGTGGTAAAATATTTCAAGCCTATACAGGGTGAGTCTATTTCGACCCCAGAAACACGTATATTTTAAACCATAGAAAATTTAGAATTTTTTTAAAAAAATTTAGGAAGCTTTAAATTTTAAGTTAAAAAACATAAAATCTTGATGATATGGCAGCAGATTTTTATTGTTTTTTTTATATTTTATTATAAAATGGTTTTCTCTCTCACATCCATAACAGCAAAACTGAATAATTTTTTTCTCACTAGGTACGGTAAATATCGTGATTTTTAGGTCCGGAAAGTTGTCAGTTTGAACTGTGATACGAAAACCAGGAAAATAACTGGATTTCAAAGTTGGCCAAAGTTGCTAGGGAGAATTTTTAAGCTAGGGCAACAAGAGAAATCCGGTTTTCGTAACAAGAAAGAATACGATTCGTTTGTCAAATGGTGTTTCTGTAAAAATGGAGGTAAATTCAAGGAGGATGTTATAGTACGAGAGCTAGCAACGTCGGAAAAACAACTATTTTAAGACGTCTGGCTCTTTGATATATATTTTACTATGCTCTCTAGAACAGCATGCGGCCCGTCTGGATGCCGGTAAACGTTGCGTTCCCTACTGCGCATTGAAAGAAGATCCTGTATTTTTATTAATCCTTTAAATTCTAGTATTGAATATAAATCGAACATTTCTCCATAGCGCAGTGCGTAGAGTTTCGGACCACGAACCGATGATTCAGAGTTCGAATCCGGTTCGGGGCAAAGACTTTCTTATTTTATTTTCGTTTATATTCTAATAGTAAAGTATTAAATATTTGTTTTTATTTAACTACCAGAATTATTGAATGCTTTACTATCAGAATAAGGCTTCAAAGAAATCAGTCGCTTCTCCTCCATATGCTGTAAGAGGGCATTCAGTTACAATGTGATGAACAGTTTGACGTGGTTCTCCGCAGTCACAAGTCGGTGATCCGGTCAGTCCCCATTTATAAAAAGAATCATGACATATGCCATGAGACGTTCTTACCCTGTTGAGTACCTTCCACTCGTGGCGGGGCAGCTCCATCCCTGGTAGAGCTGCTGTAGGGTCGATGACATAAGCTGCTTGATCTGGTTTCAAAGAGTCCCAGTACTCCCTCCATTTATCATTGATACTGAAGTTTTCTCCCAAAAGTTGTTCTGCTAATAGTAGTGGGGGGATCTAGACTTCAGTCTTCGCAGACGGGCATCTGGCAAGTCGTTGTGGACTGGAAGGTGGGGATTTGATAATATTTTCTGATATTCCTTAACGAGTCTTTCCTGTCTTCGAATACTGGGAGGTGCAATATGACTCAGAGTGGGCAGCCAAGGTAGAGGTGTGCTTTTTAAACAGCCGCTGACTATTCTCATGGTCTCATGAAGTTTGGTGTTAATTATCTTTACGTGGCAGCTGTTTAGCCAAACTGGAGCGCAATATTCAGCAACTTAGTAAACTAGGCTGAGAGATGGTGTTTTAAGAGTGGATGCGGTTACGCCCCAAGTAGAAGAGAATAAAAGTAACATAACCAAACATTCTTCGTGAGAATGAAATCATTTTTTACAAGACGAGACCTCGGTGCGGAACTCAGAACTCGAATGGCCAGATGCTACGTCTTCTCTCTGTTACTCTATGGATGTGAGAGCTGGACACTGGATTCACAGACCGAAAAGAGAATAGAAGCCTTCGAAATGTATGTATACAGACGGATGCTGCGAATCTCATGGGTACAAACGATCACCAACAATGAAGTATTCCAGCGCATGCAGAAACAAAAAGAGATACTGAACACCATCAAGGAAAGTAAAATGCAATACCTGGGTCATGTGATGAGAGGTGGTAGATACGAAATAATAGAGAGCAAAGTGCAAGGGAAAAGATCAGTAGGAAGACGCCAGAACTCATGGCTAAAAGATTTGAGATGGTTTGAACGCTCGTCTGCGGAAATCTTCCAAAGCCACAATTTTATTGCCATTTGGATCGCCAACCTTCGGCAGGAGAGGGCGTGATAAGAAGAAAAAGAACCAAACATTACCCAAAAAAGCTTTGTTTTTATTTTTTAGAATATAAAACAGTTATTTTTATATATTAGAAGCCAAGTCTATAGCTGCTGAATAAAAATCGATAATTTATTTTATGTGACATGAAAATAAACATTGTATTTTTTTGAAACCCGCTCCTTCACATCAAATATTTAACTCTTTTGAATAATTTCCTGTTCTAAAAATTTTCGGCGCGTATTTTGAATTTTAGGTTTGTGCTACAGCAACGCCATCTTAAGTATTCCCATTTTTATGACTCATTTTTCCGACCCAGATTCCATAGCCTGCTACTTACTTTAGTGAGTAAAATGGAAAAATGTTAATTAAAACCAATATTAAATCATGTCATCCTATAAATGTTGTTTCTCGTGTAATAAGGAAGATAATGGAGTAAATAAAAAAAACAAAATGTAAAAAAAAAGATAAGGCTAAAATGTGATTTCAATTTTAACTTGATACTGTAACTGATCAACTCTACAGGGTGTCACAAATTTTATTAAAAAAACACGTTATATTTGCTACACCCGGTATTAGTATAAAAAGGGTTCCTATCAAAATTCAGGAAGAATAACCTATTAGAGATGGGCGGTTATTGGTAAAAAACCGGTTATAGGTTAACCGGAATTATCTTTAAAAAATAATAACTTGACAAAATTAACCGACACAAATTAACCGGTTATTCAAATAACCTAACCTAGCAAAACTAAATATTTAGTTTTCCTATAGGTTTACTTACCTCTACACTCCATAGGTCTACTTCAAATTTAGATAATAAACTTAGTTAAATCGCATGATTAAATAGAGATTGTAGCAATGTAAGTCTGTATATGTACAAAATGAATTTAAATAAAAATGCTAACCTCACTTTTTTGAGTAGACATGGATATGATATTAAAACTAGTAATTACTTAACGTTCAAATAAACCACACAACCCACAAGTTCTACAATCTACAACCAAGTTATTTTAATCAAATATGGAGAAAAATAGACCACAAGAAAAATAGACCAAAAGAAAAATAAGGAGACTGAATGAATAAATAATGAAAGATTATCTTCATTCATTACTTGAACTTCTATGTTGAACTTCAATTTTGTATTCTTAATCTAAGCTTCAAGAGAGACTTCAAACTACAAATAAAATATATTTACGGTGAAACGTGGGTGAAACTGAGCGAAACCATGGAAAACTTTTGAAGAACCGTAGAAAATCCATTAAAGTCGGTTAAAATTTAAATATAGAATTTAGAGAATCTATTTGAAGTTAGGTTTGTATCACTTGGCTAGCTGGTGGCTAGTAGTAGTCTATGGCATTAGTACTTTGCTTTATGGCCCTGACCTGTCAGGGCCATTCGGCCGTTGTTTTGATTATTATCATCAGGGTTCGCCTGATGCCTGATTTAATTTTGACATTTGATGTCATATATTTTCGTTTTGGGAGCGGGAGCGGGATCTCCCGTTATCGTCGTAATATCGGGAAGATCCGTGCCGTTCGCTTCTTCGAAATTTACGATTCAAACAGCTAATATTTAATTGTTAGTTGTTTTAAACAAGTACGATTTTTTAAAAAATAACTGGCTATAGGTTATTGAACGTAATACAAGGTTATTAGGTTAATTGGTGAAAAAAAACTAACTTTAAATAACCGGTTATTTTAGAGGAAAATACCGGTTATTCAAAAAACCGGTTACTTTTGCCCATCTCTATAACCTATCATTCAAAAAAAAATCGGCCAAATCCGATAAGTGGTTTTGACAAAAACTTAACTTAAATTTTTGGTTATTTTTTTGCGGTGCGTTAATTTATTGGGGAAGTGTACTTTAAAAGACAATAAACGTAGTAAATACTACAAGAACTTTTTTACGAAAAATAAATTCAGATATCGTTGAAGTTCAAAGACACTTCACCTCTCTAGTACCCTTTCTGTTTTTGTTTGCGAAGCTCAAATGTTAAAACAAATTAAAAAAAAAATGTTATCTTCTTTAGCTCACCTGATATCAAAGTTGTTCCAATATCATCCCACGTAGTACTGTTCCCATAGAAAGTCTCCGGGCCCAACGAACTCAGCATATTATTCGACAAGTCTATTGACAAATACTGTATTTTCTTCATATGCACGAACAACCCTGAAGGCAACTCCGCTATCTGAGTCCCAGAGATTTTTATCGTCAAACTCGGGTTCTTTGTGATCTTCGCAAAAGCGTGCTTATCCACAATCTGGATATTCCTCCCTGTTATCTCCAACCGAGTGATTTTCCTGTTGGTCAAACAAGAAAACTGGTCCTCTACGATATGTTCGATTATATTTATACTCAAAATCCTCAGCTGATTCGCGTGTGAAAACAGGTAGCACATTTCCTCATAAAAATGCTCGATGTTTGGCCAGGTTTGCATACGGATCTCCGACAGAATCCGTAACTGTGTCAAAGCTTTACCCTCGAACCTCGTGAGCCTTTTCAAATGCTGAATATTCAACACTTGCAGAGATTTTAATCCGTAAAAACTATCCACAGTCAGTTCTTTTATGTGGTTGTACGATAAATCCAGATATTTCAGGCTAGTTAAGTACGGCCATAAGTGTGAAGGTACGTAGTTAAGTCTGCAATTACTTAAATCCAAGTACTTTAAACGTGACAACTTTGACATGGAGTTCTTATTGATCGACTCTATTCCATTCATCGAGAGATTTAAATGGACTAAGTTAGGTAAAGGAAAATTCGGAGTGAGAGTTATACCGGTATTAGCCAAGTTTAAATACTTTAAATTCTGAGCGTAGTGAAACAGTTCCTTAAAATTAGCTCTTAAAGGATTCGAGCTCAGATCGAGATGCTGTAACAAGTTCAGACTGGTAAAAACGTTATCAGGCAAAATAGTCAGTTTGTTTTTACTCAAATTCAGGTGATACAAAAAAGAAATATCCGGAAAAGTTGTTATATCGATATGTTCTAAATTATTTGACTGTAAACTTAGATGTCTCAAAGTTAATCCTGTATCAACCAGTGTAGAACTTGGCACGTTTGAAAACGCGTTGTAACTCAAATCTACAAATTCTAACAGTGTATTATTGAAAGCTCCTCTTGGTAAATAGTTTAAACTATTCCTGCTCAAATTCAAGACTCTCAGTTTGCGATTTTCAATGAACTGGGTACTGTGAATGTGACTTATCATGTTCTTGGACAAATCCAGAACCTGCAAGTCTTTCAAACCAAAAAACGCATTTTTATCCAGAACTGATATTTGGTTTCTGTTTAAATCCAAAGTATTCAGCAGAAACAAAGACATAAAGTCTCTGTATTCCAAACTTAGGATAGAATTCGAGTTTAAATAGAGTTTTTTGAGAAATTCTGCATGCTGTAAACATTGTGGAATAACTGTGAATGAGTTATAACGTAAATCTAAAACTTCTAACCTCAGAGAAGATTTATCAGAAACACAAGAAGATAAAGTGTTGAAACTGAGATTCAAATACAGCGGCATGGTTGTATGTAAAAAAGATTTAAATGATATTTTAGTTAGTTGATTGTATTGAAGATCAAGTACTCTTAATGAAGGTAGGTTTGAAAATGCTCCTGAACTAATATGAGAAATCAAGTTATTCGAGAGAATCACTCTGCTTAAATCTGACATATTTCGAAAAGATTCAGCCTGTAAGTAACGAATTTTGTTTTCCGACATGATGATTTCTATCATTCCATCCAGTGACTCAAAAGTCCTGGACTCTATATGACTTATCTCATTATTCGATAACCTTAAGTTGGTTAGTTTTGAATGAACATCACTTTTAAACAAATCAAAAGGTATAACACTGATTTTGTTGTACTCTAAATTAAGATAGGTTAGTTGTGGTAAAAAATCAAAAGATTCTGGCTTGATTTCGTGAAAATTATTGTGATCCAAAGAGAGTATTTGTAGGTTTTCCAGGTTTTGAAAAAAATCAAAGGGAAGATCGTCACGATCAAATATGTGAGACAGTTCCAGACTTACCAACTTTGTGAGGTTTAAAAAAGTATTTCGCTCGATGTTTCTCAAAGGGTTGAAACTCAAGCTTAGTTCTTTCAAGTCGGTTAAGTATATGAGCATTTCGTTACTTAAATGACTTATACGGTTGTTATTCAAAATAAGAGTTTGAATTGAATTTCCCCAGTCAATGAAATCATCTTCGTATATTTTGTGAATTTGATTGAACCCGATGTTAAGATAAGTGATTTTTGAACAATTTCTCAAAGCACTGGACGGTATTTTGGATAGGTGGTTCCCACTGAGACTTAGAGCTTTCAAACTGTCTTTAAAGCTTTCCAATGTTTCTTCTGGGAATTCATTTAAATAATTGAACGATAGATATAAGTATTTTATTGAGGTTAGTTGAGTTATTGCACTGGGTATTGTGGTAAGTCTGTTGTGGTTTAGATCGAGATATTCGAGTATTTCTGATATTCCTTGAAACGCGTCGTCTTCAATTTTTTCGATTTGATTGTACGACAGTATAATTCTTCTGCATTCCAAGCCAGAAAAGCTATTTGGTGCTATAGTAATGAAATCATTAAGAGCCAAGTTCAAGTCTTTGATGTAAATAGAGTTGTTAAAAGGGATGGTAGGGAGGAACTTAAGGTAATTCTCGCTAAGGTCGATCTTCTGTATCCACAGTCTCTTAGAGAACGTATGTTGTGGAATGGTTTTTATGTAGTTCCCTCGTAGATACAGCCACTGTAACTGTGGCATAGTGGAGATTATATCTAGGGGAAAATGGTCGATTAAATTATACGACAAGCTGACTGTTTGCAAAGTGGTGGGCAAGGCGTGTTTGTGGATTTTATGAATGCGATTGCCGTCGAGATTCAGCCAGATAAGGGTGGTGAGTTGTCGTAGGTCTTCGTGCGAGGAGGGGGTTGCTGAATCTGTCAATTCGGGGATGTCGTTCTCGCCGAGAAAGAGGGTTGTTAGGGAAAAGCGCATCTCGGACCAGTCGCCGCTAACTGAAGAAATCTGGTTTCTGAAAATAAAAAATTATGATTAGATAGAGAGTAGATTAAAAATGTAAATTATAGTAAAGGGTGATTTTTTTACGTTTAGAAACAAAAAATCCAATATACAGGCCAATACAGGGTGGTTCGAAGTGTATTCCGAAAACCTTGGCAGCATATTCTGCAGATAAAATTAAGTAAAAAAAATCTTTTAAATGTACGTCCTAAAATGCTTAGTTTCGGAGATACAGGGTGTAGAAGTTTCATTTTTATTTCGATTTTTTCTAAAGAATTTCTGAAGTAACGTCAATATTTAGTCAGTAGATATTTAAGAAAATCACTTTTTACTTAATCTGCAGGAATGAGTGCGCCGAGACGACGACCATTCGTGCCATGAACCTTGGCACGTCTGATGGCGAGGATGGAGAGCTGGCCTCTGTGGAGCCGTCTCAGATACTGGCTTTTCTTAAAGCCCTGAGACTGTATGATGAGTTATAACTCGTTATAACTCAAGAAAGGGGAACACACAATAGATCTATAAGGTCGCGGTGATTAACTCCCCTTCTAAACATTCTACATTCTACATTCTAATCTGCAGGAATATAAATACGATATTTTTATTATTTAACTTTATTATAATGAACTAGCGTGTACCAGTGACTTCGTTCGCGTCGAATTAATCATTTGTAATGGTGGTGATAAAGCAAAGCAAGAATTTCCATTAACATACAAACTGGATAAAATTTTCTCACATTTGTGTCAGCACGAGAAAAAAAATATGGCGATATTATTATATAACTTGGTAATGTTTGAGGGGTAGTTTCATCTCGTTGGAATTTGACTTTCGAAAAATCCGTCAAACAGTTTAAGCAGTTAATCGTGGTTAAGAAATTACCCAACTTTTTGGAACACCCTGTATGATTTTTTAAAAAATTTCAAAATATGTAAAAAAAACAAATAAATTATGCTTGTCCAAGCGTTTTCCCGAAAGACTAACCGTTTTTTAAATAACAAATATTGTAATATTTGAGGGGCGTTGAGAATTTTAGGATTGGAGATTCGAGAAACCCCTCCTTAGTGAACCTCTACACCCTACAGTAAATCCGTTTGCCAAAAATCAGCTTTAAACGTCAAGCAGTTTAAGCAGAATCGTGATTACTCAATGGTCATATTTTATGAAACACCCTGTATAAATTTATAAAAAATTAAAATATGTAAAACAACAAAATAAAATATACGTGTTTAAGAAAAATTCATCGGTTTCCGAAAAACTCACCGGTTTTTGAATAAAAAATATTTAATATTTGAGGGATAGTTTCACCCCCTTAGAATTCGAGTTTCGAAAAATCTTATCGAACCCTAAAGTCAATCTGTTTTCCAAAAATCAGCTTTTTACGTCAAGCGCTTTAAGCAGGATCGTGATTAATCAATGACCACATTTTTCGAAACACCCTGTATACATTTTTAAAAAATCTTAAAATATGTAAAAAAACAAAATAAAATATACGTTTGAGCGTTTTTTCGGAAACTTGACCGTTTTTTAAATAAAAAATATTGTAATATTTGAGGGGTGGTTTCACCCTCTTGGAACTGGAATTTCGAAAAATCCCTCCTTATCGAACGTCCATTCCAACGAAACAATCCGTCCATTTACTTTTAGAGCATAGCAATTTTCAGCAATCGGGTAATTTTTTATTTATAAAGATTTTCACATACTGTCTACAAAGAAAATACAGCCAGAAATATTAACAAAGTTCTTGAAAAAACTACAATCTATTATTTCTAATAGATTTCGAGATATCGATTTTTGAATTCAGAGTTCTAATAGCGCGACCACTATCGAACACCCACTCAATTCCACTGATTTTTACCAAAAATGCAAATATTTCTAGCTTGCACTTAAAAAAATTCAAGCTATAGGAAAAATTATAACAACTCGTTAATAAATAAACAAATTAAGTATCACGAGACGTAATTAAATCGTGAAGCTGAACGCATGACGTACACCTTCCCCTAGAACTTTAAGTACTGACAGAGGTATTGATTGGGTCGACCGATCAACTGCGACAAATCTGCTATATCCCCGTCCACGTCTCTTAGCGATGTGCACAGTTTCTCGGTTTATTTCATACGTTTGGCAACTTGTTTACTTTTCTCTCTTTGTTCAGTACATTATAAACGCATTGTACTCTTCTTACATACGGAAATCTCGACCCAAGACTAACCTTTGCCAGCCCTTAGTAGTTGTAGTATTGCTTGATGGGTAATATGCCAGTATTAGTATACATCATCGATATATCGAGCTGATTGGGAAAATTATTGATTGAACCGATGTCAATAAAAATATAGTCCACGGACATTTCAAAAAGCAATGTTCTCTTATTGTTTTTAAGAGAAAACTGTAAAATATACATTTATATAATATGGTTTGGTATAAATCCATTCAAAAATAAGAAAGAATTTTTATTGGTGAATTTTTATTACTTTTGTTGTTTTTTTTAGACAAATCTAATCTCAAAGGCTAAATCTACGGAGTTGGCTCTGACGGGTTTAGTCCGCCAAAGGCTTGGCCTGCCAAAGACTCCAAAGGCCGAATCCGCAGGCCGGATTTTTCCGTGTATTAGAAAATTTGGACGCCTTTTTTCAATTTTGAAGTAATTTAATAATTTTAAGAGTCTCGTTTATAAAAAAAGTCAATGTTAATAGATATTTACGATACAAGTGAGTTAACAGCATTATTAAGATACGCTGTTAAGATGAACTGAGATGCGGTAATAAAAATGCGTGAGTTAAAAAGCTCTTAACTCACTCAAAATGCGTGAATTAAGAGCTTCTTAACTCACTGACGTAGATAAAAAAATATAAACTATCATTAAAACATCATCAGTTAGATTCACGGAACTTATCGCCGTTTAAATAGATTACTGGCTTTAATGTTGTTTGTAAACAGCGTTAACGAATCATATTAGCTCGGTTGTCAAAAGGTCGTAAAATACCAATTTATGTAACCAGTGGGGACAAGCATTGTTTTGTTTAATTAGTGCTATCTCGTAATGCCCGTTTCGCAAAACAACAGGATTTTAACAAAATAGTGTCTCCCAACAACGAGTTATGCACGATGTTGTTGCCTAGTTTCAACTATTTATAGTCCTCAAATCCATGAAAATAAAATTCACATTTTTTTTGATTGGGTTTTAATTGGAGTTTATCCTCTACAAAGGAATGTAGAATGTAGAATGTTTAGAAGGGGAGTTAATCACCGCGACCTTATAGATCTATTGTGTGTTCCCCTTTCTTGAGTTATAACGAGTTATAACTCATCATACAGTCTCAGGGCTTTAAGAAAAGCCAGTATCTGAGACGGCTCCACAGAGGCCAGCTCTCCATCCTCGACATCAGACGTGCCAAGGTTCATGGCACGAATGGTCGTCGTCTCGGCGCACTCAGTGATAAGGTGTTCTGGTGTTTCCCCATTTTCCCCACAAAATCTGCATTCGCCGTTGTTTCTCAGTTTCAGCCTACTGAGGTGTTCGTTGAGGAGACAGTGTCCTGTTAGAAACCCCGTGACAATCCGAAGATTGTTTTTACTTAAATCAAGGAAAACCTTTGATTTTTTCTCGGTCATAAGTTCTAAGGAACTTTTTCGAGTGTCTTAGACCGTTGGAGGACACCCATTCCAAGTTACGGATGGAGTCTTCCAGATTCTTCAGTTCCGCTTTCAGTTGGTTCCCGTTTGGAAAACAGAACGGTTCTTGTCCAGTTAGTGGAGTGTTCGCTCCTTTCCTAGCTAGATCATTTGCTTTTTCATTGCCTTCTATCCCTTGGTGAGCAGGCACCCAGAGTAGGAGGACTTTATTTTCTTTGCCTAATTTGTTGAGCTTCTCTAGGCATTCTTTGACCAACTTCGAATTGATGGTTACTGAGTTGATCGCGTTAAGTGCTGCTTGACTATCGGATAGGATGGCAATTTCCTGTTTTCGATAGTTCCTATCCAAGATAAATTGTACGCATCTTTCGATAGCGCAAATTTCTGCCTGAAGGATACTGGGGTAGGTGCCCATTGGTTCGGAGTATTCAGTTTTCGGCCCAAATACTCCTATCCCTGTCCCTGCTTTGGTTTTGGAAGCATCAGTATACCACGTGATGGTATGGTCTTTTATATGCTGAGTAAGCGTTTCTTTCTTCCAATCCTTTTTATTACTCAATACTACAGTGAGGTGTTTCTCAAAGTTGTAAATTCTTGGTATGTCATCCACTGGGAGTTGGAGAAGTGGAATTTTCTTTTTGAGGGTGTTCCAAGCCCCTGACCTGAAAATTCTCCCAGTACTGTTTCCGTCAATGACCATTCTAATCATTGTCGCATTGGCATAACTACCGACGACAATATGCAGTGGTGTTAGGTCTAGAATGACCTCCATTGCTGCTGTTGGACATGTTCTCATGGCACCTGTGATGCAGATACATGCCAGTCTCTGTACTTTGCACAGGGTTTGCCTTGCTGTACGTTGCTCTAGTTTTGTATACCAAGCAACTGCTCCATAAGTAATCATGGGTCTTACTATCATGGTATACATCCAGCGCAAAATGTTAGGGGCGCAGCCCCACCTATTTCCCGCCAGTCTTCTGCATATCATGAGAGCCTTTTTGGCTTTGCTGGTAATGTTCTTAATATGCCTGTTCCAGAGAAGTTTACTATCCAGGGTTATTCCCAGATATTTCACTTCCTGTGATGGCAGTATTTCCTTTCCATCTAGATGGATTCTTTTCAAGTTTTTCAAACTTCGCTTTCTGGTGAATGGCACTACAAAGGAATAAAAAAATCCTAAATGTCATTGCTCGTTAAATGTAAAATAATTATTATTGCAGTCAAACACCTAGCCGCTACCTATAACTCAGGCGTCTAAACGCAAAACCCGACAAGTCCATTGAAATAAATTTTACAGAATACATAAAAAATGATTTAAAATATTAAGAATATTAAAAAGAATAATAAAAGATGAATTAAAAAAATCCCTAAACAACAACAACA